GATGGACAGTAGTGGAAATGAAACCCAAATAGGGACAATGGGCATCTCATGCTAAAGGCTGAAACTAGTCGTCCATTTGGTGACTCTCATTGGACACCCGTCAATGTACCAGGTGGGCTTAAGGAATAACCGAGAATAATCGTCCTCGTGTGCCAAGTGAATCAAAATATGATAAGCATCTATCAATCCTATCATATAATCACCATGAAATCCAAAGTGCAAAAAACTATCATGTACCTTAATCATAGATGGCTTACGATGAGAGAATTTGCCAACAAGTGTGAGCTTGTATGGCAAAGAAAGATGCTCATCCTCCTCTTCTGTAAATAAGACTGCTGGCTCACCATTATGTATATACGGGTCTTTAGAGACCAACCTGTAATCAGTGGTGTCTTGTGGAACTTGAAGAGCCGGTGCAAATAACTTTTTCTGACTTCGCTCGGTCTGAGATATAACAGTTTTGCTTGAAAGGACAGCAGCATACGACTTTCAAATTTGATTTGGCAACTTAGGGATCTCGATCGGGGAATCCATCGATAGAATTGTGTGTAGATTAACTGGGGCTACATTCTACCCAAAAATTGTTGGGGCACCACCAGTGGGCCGCCGGTGGCTGCTTCTGACGGTCATGAACCTCCGGACTCAGAATTTGATGATTTTTTATAAGGTGGTACGGAATTTCATGCTGAACATGGCGGTCAAGCACGTGGTCGGAGATGAGGTCATGATTCGCCGAAATCTGAGTTTTTTGGACCTGTTGGTCGTTCACGTTTGGGTCGATTTCGAGAGCGTCCGAGCTCCGATCAGGCTAATTTTTTTGTCGAAGCATCGTATCCTCATCAGAAAGTTGAATATCTAGTGTGTGTAGCAAGGTGGGTCCCTAAACAGGAGGAATCGAAAAATCAATCGCGAATGGCACGGAATTCAAAGTTTTGATTTCGGCCAAATTGGTCACCTCGACACTACCTCAAGGGTTTTTGGGCCTTTTGAGATCAATGGCAGTGGTCTTGTCACCAAATTCTGAGCTGAAGTGGGTGAAATGAGTGCTTGGGATGCATGCCACTCGTTTTTTAGTTCAAACCAAATCTGATTTCTTCAAACCTTATTGCTGATTGTTGAAAAGTTGTATGAGAAGGTGTTGGAGGTGTGTTGTCATCGATAGTGGTGGTGTTTTTCAGTGGTTTTGGTGGTGGATCAAGGGTGTTGATGGATTTTTCTTTATCTCCCATTCTAGAGAGAAGGGACCAACACCATTAATTTGTCAATCAAGTATACAGGTGGGCTTGATACAAGTAAGTCATATTGTAGTAAAGAATTTTCACCTTTTTTTATTTTTCAATTTTTTAATTAAAAATAATCAAACTATCTAAAAAGTAAAAAATAAAAAATAAAAAATGAGATGCATGCAATAATGAATGAATCAATTAAAAACATAAGCATTCATCAAAAGTACCTAATCAATTAGTTATACGAACGCTCTTACGTTTAAGAACTCCGTGATCAATTTCAAAATTTTCAAAATTACTCTTTTCACCCAAACTTGTCTAGTGGAAGACTTATTTCGATTCAACTATGTCATTAATTTGGTCAAATGACTCACTTGATTAGTGAGGCAATCAATTCGACTATCAAAATCCTGATTTCTAACTCTAGCGAAATTCTAATTTCTATTTCTATTCAGAAATTTATGACACCTAGGCCTTGCATGTCCCAGTGCACTACAGTTGTAACAATTGGGAATAAACACAGGTTCCAAACTACGTGATGGGTTGATATTGATTTATAGGTAACTAGTCCTACGTTGTCTAGTAGGCCTCGGTCCTAAGACACTCTTACCCTTGGGTTCTGAATTAGCAACATTCCTAAGTTTGTTGGTGGCTGGGATAAACGTGGTCTTGGATGCACTAGCAGTATTGGTATCAGTTTGAAGATATCCTAGACCTTACCTATTTTCAGCTGACTTGTTCATCCCTAACAGATTATCAAGTTTCTGATAACCATTCAAGTAGGAATAAAGTTGAGTTTTAGATTTTTCTAGGTCACATGTTAAGGTTTTAACCTTAGCTTCTAGGTTCACATTGATAAGTCTTAACTCACTCAAATTTTTGGTAGAATCCTGAATGTTAGCTATGAGTTTCTCCCTCTATCTCAAGTTCATTAACATTCTTTAGCATAGCTTTATTGACCTTCTTTATCTAAAGACCCTCATCAAATAATTTTTGATAAGCCTCATAATCTCATCCTCATCTTCTGAATCTTCCTCTGTTTGCTCACCACTATCAACATCCTCAATCTTTTTGGTGTCTTTATCCGATTCACTTTTAATCCTAGCAGTGAAGGCCATAAACTTTATACTCTCTTCATGTGTAAACATCTTACTTTGATTATTCGAGTTAGACTCGTTATCAGTGAGAGTTGCATTTATAGCTTTACCTTGATTTCTCTTACAATTAGGGCACTCACTTCTATAGTGGCAAAAACCTTGACATTTATGATATTATACAAATTTAGATCTCTTTCTAGACTGGCTTCTTATTATTTCTATGTCTCTCTTTAGTCTTCTCCTTATTTCTAAACATTTTTTTGGAAATTATTAACAAAGTAGGCTATTTCCTCATCATTAAGTGATTCCAAATCAGATAAATCATACTCTTCTTCTCTAACAGTGTTCAAGGCTATAGACTTATTCTTCTTAGGTTAAGATATGGTGAGTTCATAAGTTTGGAAAGATCTAACCAAATTTTCAATCTTAGCAACATCTAGATCATTGTTCTCCTTGATAGCCATAACTTTAAGTCTAAATCTTTCATATTATGATCTCAGGATTTTTCTGACAATCTTAGACTCAAGAATTCTCTCACCTAGGTTAAAACTAGAGTTCACCATGTCATTCAACCTCATATAGAATTCATCGAACGATTCATCATCCTTCATTCTAATTTTTTCAAACATAGTGGTCAACATCTGCAGCTTAGAGTTCTTGACGATTTTGGTTCTCTTGTGTGTGGTCTCTAAAATATCCTAAACTTCTTTCGCGGTTTCACATATCGACACTCTCCTAAACTCTTTAGCAGACAAAACCACAAACAAGGCATGAAACCCTTTACTATTTCAATTGCACTCAACTAGTTCATCCTTAGCCCAAATAGAAATATACGTGAGGGTAACTACACATGAAACAGTAGAGGAAGATGCGGTCTAACTATTTTGTACACTAACCCAAATCTGTTCATCTAGAGACTTAAGGAATGCTCTCGTCTTAACCTTCCAATATGCATAATTTCTTCCGTCAAAAAATGGAGGCACGGAAAGAGAAGAACTTATCTAGCTTTAAATATGGATCAGGAATCAAAATGAGGCTCTGATACCACTTGAAATAACGAAGTTCGACCCAACTAACACTTAGAGGGAGGGTGAATACGTGTTTATGTGAAATTTAAATTTACCACTTAATAAATGCAACAAGTCACAGTTATTAATTATTTCAAATGAATTCACATGCACAACTATCCTATGTTGAATTATCACAGTTAATAAATTACTGAAAAATAAATAACACTTGAAAATTGTTGACGGAGAAATCTCGTAACTGGGTAAAAACTCTGGGCCCAAACCGGTAAAAATACACTCTAAACAAATCAACTTATAGTACTATCAGACTCGACTAACTCTAGTACTTTCTGACCTCTGTAATCACAAAAACCCTCGTAGATTGTGTGCTCCTATACCAACTCCCGACCTTCTAAATTCGTTTATCTCCTGTACATCAATGAGGACTCCTCGTTCTCCAACATCTGAAACTTCGATCACCTTCCTCGATCTTCAAAACTCTGATGATGTTATGGAAGTATGTGTTTTGGTGTTTGGTTTATGTGAAGTTGATGTTTTTCAATGCTATGAAGAAATCAAAATGAAGCTTGAACTAATAGAATGATATGTAGGAAATAATCTCTTGTTTCTCTCAAAGTTCAACCTACCTTTTTTGAATAGAGGCGTGGATATATATAGTGTAGAGGTTTTGGGTAGTATGGGTCGAATAAAAACCTTGAAAAATGCGAATTAATTTTTTTTCGGGATATACTGTCGATTGAGTGACATCTCAGCTACAAGCTACATCTTAGCGATAGGTGGGCGACACAGTTTCTGTTTTTACTGAACAAGCGTCAGCTAGGCAATAGGCTAGCGAAATTACAGCCACTCTTTTCTCCTCGTTCCATACTCAAAACCTAAGACGTCTAACTCACCTATATAACTTATCACTTGACATTTTGACTTTTAAAAACTCTTTTTTAACAATAATTTTGTCAAAAAATTGCCAACATCTTTAAAACCTAACAGTTTTGATTTGAGTACTAAAGGTTGATAGTGTCAAATGATTTGATTGAGTCAAGGCAAAGCTTTTATAATTATAATGCTGTTTAACCGTCTAAGGAGAAGGTAGCCTTAATGCGCAATGATAATTAACTCCTACTTGAGTCCCTTTTTTTATAGAAATTTTGTAAAAAGTAATTTTTTATAAAATGTCAGATTAAAAAGCATGAAAAAAATTAAATTTATGTAAAAAACTACTTTATAGGAAGGATGTGTAGTTAATAATGAGTTTAGAAATAAGTGAGGCTCCCGTCAAACTCATTTTTAACCATACATTTTACGTGACCCACAAATTTTATTAAGTTTTCAATCATACATCACTAATTTTTATTAAAATCTAATAAAAAAATTAAGTTTTATCTAAACTTTTTTTGATGGTCCTTAATGCTGTTTTCACACTACCATTCCAGTCTTTAACGTAGAAACCTTGGCATTGCACAATGTTATCAAAATAATTCATAACTTGGGGCAATCATGCATTACAAGGAAGGAAATACAAATAAGACAAGACAAGACAAGATAAGAAAAGAAAATATAACCACGGATGATGCTGTTACATCCTTTTAAGCAAATCCAAACAAAGACATGTTACGAACAAAATAACTTAATCAAGTGAAGACCTTTAAAAATCAAAACCATCCGTAGCTGGAGAAATTATTTCTGAACCCATCAGAGGCGTCATTTAGTGAGTTGGATCCCAGGTATTCCCCCATGTCGTATGCTCCAGCCATGGTCTGCTGCTCGGACAACTCGAGAAAACTCATTTCATTCAGAACTCCACATCCCAGTTCTGAAAGCACTGGTGGCTCGCCCGAGTAGCTGCTCGTAATATCCGGTGGCAAAGGTGGAAGTTCAGCAGTCCCATCCGCATACAACGGTTCAAATGCACCTGCAGTACTATTAGTCGCCACCTGCAGCTCCTCTTGCAATAAACTAGTGTTATAGCTACTACAGCTGCTTTGATTCCAGGTATCCTCAGAGACCTGAAAGCAGCTTGGAAACTGACTCACATTTATAAGATCATTCTGACCAAAGAACAATAGTTGGTTGTTTGAAGTGTCAGATAGTTTCGAATGGTCAAAAAGGGCGGAGAGATCCTGTTGGGATTCATCAGGGGACACAATGGAAGTGACAGAGGAACCAGGAGGCATGTCCGAGTATACAAAGTTTGTTCGAGCTCTGGAGCCACGCATTGAGCGCGCAGCCCTGTCGTAGGCCAAGGCAGCCTCCTCTGCGGTGTCAAAAGTGCCAAGCCAATGCCTTTCTTTGGTGGAAGGGTCTCTTATTTCTGCTGCATATCTGCCCCATGGCCGCCTTCTGACCCCAAGAAACCTGGTTGTTGATTCTTGCTGATTAGTCTTCTTTTTGCTCTTTGAAGGAGAAGGGGAGTTTGTGTTTGAGTTGTTGGCAATATCCATATATGGTATTTTAAACTTAACAAGGATATAACTGTAACAGTAATCCTATATTTTTCTCGCTGAGGCAGATGAAAAGTGAGATTTCCTGACAGCTGCAGTTTGTGTGTGTGTGTGAGAGAGAGAGAGAGAGCTTTTGAGTGCTAGCTCTCTTTAATTCATTTGTTTGTGGTTCAGGCCGTTGCATTTGAGCTGTTTAAATAAGGAGGTGATAATTATTTTATAGTTAATTTTGAAGGATTTTTATATAAGACTGGAGGGCCATCAATATCTGAACGTCCTAAAATGACTCATTTGGTCATGGATCATATGCATCATTATAGCCATATGCTTATTCGAGTGCCATAATTGTTATATCAATATTCTCTTTAATTACTAAATTAAATTCCCATAATAAATAGAAAAAACAGTTTCAAAAGGTCCAATTTTTTTTTTCTCATTAATGTAGTATTTGTAATTAAGTTGACAATAAACTTTTGGTTTCAAGTTACGTTTTTCCTTTCTCTCAAATGATGAATTAATAATCAGAAAACTAAAACATTGGTTTTCATGCTAATAATTAATGTACATTGTAACATTTACTCATCCTTACAGAAATTTTCATCAGTTAATATAATTGATGTAAAGATGACGTATGAATATAATCATTCATTTGTACTGCAATAAATAAAACAGATATATAAGCATGCATTGAGATCTCTTGAAAACTTTTTGCACGTCTAAGCAGGAAGACTACTGCTTCTCATCATTGCTCAATATGTGATTCAATCATAATTTGGGATGGATTGCTAGCAATCATTGACCTCATTACCCTAATAATTATATGAAGTTGTTGACTCTAAATGATGATCAACAAATTCCTCTTACTTAACTAGCATTTTTCACTTCTAATTTCACTATTTTGCTAGGGAGCAAGAGAAGAATTGACTATTTGAGAGGATGTTATTTTAAATTCAGCATGATCTTCTTCTTTTCAGGCATGCCTATTTATATATTTATATTCATGCATTGGGGATAAATTAGTCTTTTTGATTGGTAACGTGTGATAGTCTTTGATCAAATGACTTTTAACTAATTCTGTTAGCTTTTGCATGATGCATTAACCAGCTAAATCTTTACGTTTTTTTCTCAGTATATTGGCTCACATCATGTATTTAAGATTGTTTATGAAGTTTCTCCCTTATGGGTACTTTTTAGCTCATTTTGGGTTCGCGTAGTAGTGGCAAAAAGTTCGTCGGCTCGGGCTCGACCCGGAAAAAGCTCGAGCCGGGCCCGGCTCGGGCTCGATGGAACCGAGCCTAGGCTCAGACCGAGCCCCATTTGGGCCGGCCCGTGTCCACATGGGCCTGTCCGTAATTAATTTTAAAAAAAAATAATAAAGCTGCCTGCTTTAAAATAGCTGAAATTTTTTTTAAAAAAAAATTAAAATTCGAGCCGGCTCGGCCCGCTAAGGCTCGGCTCGGGCCTGAAAAAAGTTGGGCCAAAAAAGCTCGAGCCGAGCCCAAGCTTTTTTTTTTTCGGCTCGTTGATATATCTAAGTTCGCGTGTATTTTATGCCTCTTCAAAGTGTTTCTTCAAAGTTTTCGCTCATGTTATTTCATATATAACAAAAGTTTCATTCTGATGCATATGTACATACATACAAACATTATTTGCTAGCAGCTATTTTAATTTTTCTTATCCATGCAGTGAAATTAAGTTGATTGAACAACTCGTACAGAAGAAATGCTGGATGAGAAAATATTTATGTTGAGTAGAAATAGATATGTTATAAAAAGCAAAGCAATCTGAGGCAATGTGCATCCAATTATAAGTAGAAACAATTTCAAATGATAAACTCCCTCACCTTTTTCCATAATCACCTGGGTTGATTAAGAATTCATGCAGAAGGAAAAAAGAAAAAAAGGGAAGTTGGGTTCCATGTGATCGATCGGAACTACTATTCCTTCTTATTATATATATTTTAGGGTAAAAGCAATTACCCACCTAAAATATTTATATAGATAGCTTACCCAGGCATCCAAAGCACTACCTTCTTTTACAATGTTAATTAAAATTAACAGTAAAGGTACGACTATGATATCTGTATATTCCAAGTTAAACAGAATTTAGGGTAACAAAAAAATAAAATTTTATTTGAGTAACAGAAAGAAACAACTTCATATACTGGCACAATTTCTGTGGAGACAATGGCAATATAACGAAATTGGAATTTAAGAATAATGCTTATTGTACATAAGGAGTTACGTAATGTTTTACATACAGATATGTTGTGAAAAAGAGAGTGAAGAAGTTTTTTTATTAATTGGTTGAAAAAATTCTGACTCAACCATATCTTACTACATCATGTACATGTAAATAATTATGTACGTGTAGCATATCGAGAATTTAAACAGACATTAATTTCTTGTGTTTTCATGAGTTCGGTCTTATTTGAGGCTTTTTGCACGTTTCTTCAGCTACCACCAGAGTGTGTGTGACTCGACAAAACTTTGACTAGTACAAACATTTTCGGAAAATTGCCAGCTTAATTAGTCAATCTCAATTAATTTTACTCTATATATTTTGCATTAAAAATTCTTGGAATGAAAAGAAATTCAATTTTTCTTCCCGAAACCTGCAAAAAAATGGTAAGACTCTAGCCTCCTACACTATCATAAAAAATATATAGACTAAAGACTTGTTCAAAGATCCCTAAAATGAACAGTAAGAATTTGAGATGATGGTATAGGTGGGCCAGATTTATCCTATAAAAACATAAAAGATTTTATTAAAAGGTGTAATACTATTACTCAAAACGTGGCTACCTTTATCTTTTTAACCATTATACAAAGTATAGTATAGTATTTATGTGATGGATCGAATGCACATTTTGACCATGTTTTGTCTAGTGAAAAGAGTGCACGTGAGGTGAGAATGAGATATTGGAGAATAAAGAGAAACACTTTATTATTTCACTTGAAAATTTTAAGAAAACTGAATAATTCGATATTTTATTATTTTACAATAAGTTAATGTTAAAAGTAATTATTTTAGTGATATAATTTTTAAACTGGGAGCATGTTAATGGAATGAATGAATTACAAGTATTTTAGCGAATTTGCAGTATATTGGAATTTATCATTTTTTGTTCATAAAATATGTAAAAACCACTCATAAAGTGAACAGAAAGATAGTCTAAAAGTCAGTAAGAGTTGGAAGAAAAAATTGGATGAGTGAACAAAAGGCATTTTGAACTCTACAAAATTAGTAAAGCTGTGAAAAGGTGTGCTCTGATTTTCAGGAAAGAGTCAAACGGATCCTCTCTGCGGTGTGTCAACACTTAAGAACAATAATTAGGTCACTAAGTATATTGTATTTGCCTCGAGCGAAAAAAAAAAAACCAATCAAGCAAACAATTTGACCATTCTTGTCCTAATTATAAGCACTCAAAAGTTTCATAACTCTTTCTAAATTCTATTCAAAACCAATTACATTTGAGTTTTTCAATGTTTTAAATCCTTCGTTTTCTGGGAGAGCCAAACCAACAGTACAAAAATCAAGATGCCACTTAACTTTTTTTATATAATTTTTGTCAAGAAAAAAATAAGCAAAAGATCCTCTTGTTCGCTCTTCATTCACTTCTATTACAGCCTATTCAAATAAAAACAAACTATAGTACACGATATAAGATGATTGGCCAATATATCAACGTTCACTAGAAAGAGGAATGTGTTTTAATTATTGTTGTGCTAATTATGCCCAAAATCTCTGATACCAATTGTTAGGAATTCAAGGATCACGCATTGTTCGATACCACTTGATATGAATCAACCATCGGAGTGAGATGTTGAAATTATATGACAAAATATGAAATATTTAATCACAGGCAAAATAATAAAAGACAAGAATATATGGCAGAGGAATTTATTGCACCATAAATAATGAAGATGGAGAAATATTACAATGATCATAAAAGTTAGTAATCACTTTTTTCACATTATTCTCAAATTACAAAATTGTAGAGAAGAATCGACTATATATAGGCAGCTATGTAGGGCGACGTCCAAACCCTAATAGATGAGTTGTAGTTGAAGTAGAACGCCAAAAACGTGTTAAAACGCGAAAAGGGCCAGAACCGGATAACTCTGTCGCTCGAGTGAGAAGCTAGGGACAGGTCCGTCGCTCAAGCTTTAGACGGGCATCCCAGTCTCGGGAGAAAATGCTCGAGCAGCTAGCTAGCTGTATTCTAGTGAAAATATGGCGACTTTTCTTCCAGGTCCATAATTTCAACATCTTCAAGTCCAATACAATTCCAACTCTCAATAGGGCTTTCAAATAGAATTTCAACTTGAATAAGACTCCAATAGCATTCCAAACTAAATTTCTCTTGACATGCACTTCAAGTAGATTTCTTTAATTACTTCAACTGGGAATTCGGGTCACACTCTAATTCTAACAATCTCCACCTTGACACGAATTCTACTGCAACAAACAAAGCTCCAAAATTTTCTCCACCCGGAGAAGAAAATCTGTCTACAAGGAATTAATTGACTCTTCAACAATAACCAAAAACTGATTTCTCCAACCAAAAATGAACTGTCTTTTTCAACAGTAACCAAAAAATTAATTTCTCCAATCTATCACGAATTGCTCCACATCTTCCAATGAATCCAAATACTACTCTACAGAACTATCACAAATTCCCAAAAAATCATAATGATTTTAAAATTCACCAAATTGGGCTGTAACACATCCCAAAGCATAATCAAACTCAAATGTTTTTAAAGAAGGCACATTCTAGATTGTACACTTTCTAATACACTGAAAGCATGCTCAACAAAATCAGTATTCACATACCCTTTTCCACTTGGTCCGTCCCTAACAATAGAATATAATGGCACCGAAGGTAATGGTGGTGGCAAAGCGATATTATCCATATCTCATGAACTCCACTGAGTTATATTCTTCAAATTCGACCTTTTTACGAGCTCCTAAAGGTATTGTACCAAACTGAATATTCA